AGATCACATCGATCTAGGAGAACAAACAGTCTCTATAAGGAAGTCACAGGAAAGTTTAAGAGTCCTTGTGAAGGGCTCATGGGCTTGTGAAGAGACTGAGAAGGTTCTAGGAGGACTTGAATATGTTGTAGAAATCTTTCACAGGACACTTTGAAGACGTGCTTCAGAAGGTTACAGGGTTCTCAGAGGAAGACCTAGAAGTACATGACCACGTTCTAGAGAAGCTTTGTGGTTCCTTAGAGATGCTGAGTGTCAGTGGGGTATTGCATTGCATCATTAAGGAGTCCTTTATCTGCTTTTGTAACTTTTGGAGGGGAGCAACTGATCAGAAGGTACCCGGAGTCCCGTGGGCACCTGTGGGCAAAGAAATTGCTCTGGAAGTCATTACGGATGTCTTTGAGGGAAAACACAGCTGTGGGTAACTCTAGACAGGCATTCAGGAATTCCAAAAGGTCATCATGAAGCTGTCTTTTTGGGTTTATAAGGATTTTTGCTCTCCAGTAACTTCAGGTACTCCAGGTTTCGGCGTGTGACCGCCTGGTTCTGGCGGATGTAGTAGGCCAGGTAGCAGATGAGCATGAAGAGCCAGAGGAACATGGTGACGAGTGTCACCACATCAGTGGTTCTCCTCACAGACAAACACAGATCCCAGTCCTCCATCAGCACAACCAGTGGTATCCCGACAGCTCCTGTAACACCACATCACACAGTGTCAGACCATAAAACAGTGTGTAGCCACAAGTAAAGAACAAAATGGTACAAAAGAAGGAAAAATGATGTGTTGTGTGTTCTTTGTCCAGCACATCTGCTGAGAGAAAGCTTACCGAGGTTTGGGAGATCAGAGGTTGCACAGACAACTTCTGCTAGTGAGGTCAGGTCCAGATCCAACTGAGGCATGGACATCTAAACACAAACAGAAAGTTGTAATGACTTTGTGTGAACTACAAACACACATCATTGCAGCTGTGCACACCTCCATCCTGCAGTCACAGTGCCAGGGGTTATGTGTGAGGTTGGCCTCAATCTGCAGACCGCCGAGCACCGGCAGCTCCAGCGTGGACAGGCGGTTGTACGACAGGTCCAAGAAAGTAAGCGAGTCCAACCCACGGAAACAACCGTCTTCAAGTGAGGAGAGCTGAGGAGGGCGAAACAGTATGATCCTGCTGTGT